CGATCAACTTAATATTTAATTTTTGTTTATATTAAAATAATATTTAATTCATAAAATTTATACCCTACAAACATAAATTAGTTTTTTTTGAGTGTGAAACTTAAAACACACATACATTCGTGAAAATAAAAAAACAATTCCTTAAAGGCCTGTTGTATGGAATGCGGAACGTGGGTCCACATAACATTATCAACACATTGATGTGAAATAAAATAAAATAAATCAGACAGAATAATTATATGGATAATAAAAAGTATCATACCACAATACATGATACATGAAAAGAACGTTCCTTCCTTAGTCTTCTAAAAATGTCAATTAAAAAGATTCCGAACCATGTTTTCTTTGCGCAAATTCACAGACTGAACCATGTTTTCTCAAAAGAGACAAAAAATGCAGCCAGTAAATTCCATTTCTGAGGGGATACAGTAAAAGTTTGGCTCGAGAAAAAAAAAACTAAAAAATGTAGAGAATTTGAAGGGAGATGAGTTGAATTGGGTTGAGTTTAAATTAATTTATTATCTGATTCAATTAAAATTTAATGGATTGGATTGAAAAATTTATATAATTTCTTGAAAAAAATTTGAATTAAGTTAGATTGGATTAACATAATTAAATTTATTTATTTATTATATAAAATTTAATATTTCAAAATAAATGTAAATTATTTGATATTTTTTATCAATCTAATCAACAATGATACAAACTAAATTTAAAAATAAATATGTTAATTTGTTAAATTATTATTAACTCAAATAATTAATATTAATTAGTAAAAAATAAAATTTAGATTAAATTATATTTTTGATCTTTTATCTTATTTTTTAGATTTATTTTAGTCCTTTTTTTTTAAATATTCATTTTGATCATTTATCTCCTAAATTTTAATCTATTTGATCATTTTGAAACAATAATTATTTTTTATTTTGAGAGACACTTTTAAATTTTTTATTAAGCGATTCAAAACTTAAAATTTGTCTTATTAGATTTATCTATATAAAAATTATGAAATTCAATTAATTTTAAAATTTAAAAAAATGATAAATGTAGTGAAAGATATGTGAAAAATATATTCATGAATAATTAAAAAATAGTACAAAATTAAATTTTTAATTTTTTTTTTTACTTTTTGCACTTATTTATATGCAACTTTCGTCATGTTGATACTCCTTTTGATTTAAACTTCTTGCGTTCAATAATTTTCAAGTGAATTTAATGAGATAAATTTAAAATTTTGAATCAGTTGACAAAAGATTCAAAAAAAAATTTCAAAATTAAAAATAATCATTATTTCAAAAAGACTAAATATATCCAAATTTAAGAAATAAAGGATTAAAATGTACATTTTAAATGATAAAGGACTAAAATAAATCTAAAGAATAAGGTAAAGAACTAAAAATATAATTTAAATTTAAAATAAATTTGTTACATTGTTACAATATTATTAACCAAAAAATACAATTTGTTACAGAGTGACAGTATATATTGTCCTGAGCAAATAATTATTCAAACATTATTATTATTATTATAATTATTATTATTAGGTTGGATTAGGTCACGTATTGAAAACACAAAATTCATTACCTAATTTGAATAATGTTAGATTTTGATTGGATTGGATTAAGATTTGATCCAAATACTAAAAAAATATAATCTAAATTTATTAAATCAATTTTAATTAGTTTAAGTTTGTAGATTATTGGTAATTACTTACACTCTACAAGAAGCTAGATTTTTTGTTTTTCCATTGAAATAAAAAATAATTTAAACCAAACAAGCAGTGCACTAATCGTTTCCATTGGTTATTGACTGAGTCCAACTATTAGAAGAATGGATCATTAGTCAAACTAATAACAATTTGCACGGTCAAATTTATCTAAAATATTTTTTTGGAATAAGAGAGAAAAAGAAATATTTTAAATTTTAAATTAATTTATACATAATTAACTTCTCTAAGATATTTTTTTAATGTATGTATAAGTTAATTTTAATTTATAATAAAAAAATATTTTTAAATATTTAAGAAAAAAGTTATTCAAACAATCTCTAGGTCAAATATTAAACCACATGCATAGATATACATTAAATTTTAATATATGTATATAATGTACACATATACTATAAAAATATATTCTTTCAATAAATCTCTGGGTCCTATCAAGTCCACACGTTTTTCAACGTCACACGTTGGTTTCAACTATAAAAAAAATGTCGAATACGTTGATTTCCACAATTAAAAATATTGGCATTAAAAATCATGAAATTCTAGGGTTCTTGCCAATTCAAAACCGAGTTAATCAATTTTTATCAGATCAACTACAAAAATATCCAACAATATAATAGCAAAGTTTCCGGATTTTTACCGATTGAAAATTAAGTAAATGAATTTTCAGCAGATCAACAACAAAAATGATCCAAATGTTTTAACCGAATCAACTAGGGGCTTTCATTTCTGCACACTCTTATTTCATCTTTCAACTCAATTTTCCACGTTTATTTTTTTTTATATTTTTTTTGACAAAAATATTATTGACGGATCAAACATGTTTCCATTGACTATTAGGGTTAACTTAGTGGTTGGGGTAGTTAGAAGCATGAGAACCTAGATTCAATTCTTATTGCGACCATCTTTTTAATCTTTCCAATCTTTACGAAAAAAAAAAAAACATGTTTCAATTGTTGCAGTAAAACAACATACAACTAAAACAAGTTTATGCTGCGTAGTAAGTTGAGATGGGGTATTACTTTTCAGTACACAATGAAAACAAATTCTTTTTATAAAAAAAATCCAACATTGTGTCAATTCCTTACAAAATAATAATACAACGAAAGCACATTTATGTTATATTAAGTTCTTACAAAAAATCACAATAGAAATGTATTTGCATTGTGTTTTGTGCTATATTTCTTTTGTAAAAAAAGTTAAGCATTTAACTTAATTTTTATTGTGTATTGAAAAATGTATCTCAATGAAAATGTATTTTTATTGTGTATTGAAAAATGACCCCACCTCAATTTACTATACAACAAAATTATCAACTTATACTCCTAGTTTTAACTTGATATTAGAGGTATTTGCGGTACGGTTTAATTCTAATTTTAATTTAAAAGTCAATCAAATCAAAGAAAAAAAATCGATTTAATTTGAATGTAATATAGAATTTGATCGAATCAAATCAATCTTTCGCGATTTGATTTAATTCAATTTTTATGATTTTAATAATATATTATTTAAAAATTAGCTTAAAAATATAATATAATATTATAAATGAATCATAATTTTCAGCATTGTCATATTGGAAAGCTTTTGTTTTCTATATTGTCACATTCCTCCTAAGAAAAAAAACACAATCTAAGGAATAAGTTCTGCTTCTTCTTAAAAACATGTTTTAGTAATTAATTGACTTGATATATAAGTTAAAACCTAACGTTTCTAATACTTTTGGTTGGTTGATAAATATAGGAAACTCAAATTAAAGCTAACTAAAAATGAATGTCTAAGTTTTCTTTCTTTATTTTCCACCGTTGTAGTCTATACCAGATACCTACATGTAATTCCAAAAAAATACAAAAAATATATAAGTTGAAGCTGTTGTTCGATTTGATTTGGGTCAGTTTTACAATCCCAAACCATCAACTGAGTCAAATTGCGCTGTTTGGTAAAACAAAAAACCAAACCAAACTCATGTATTTTTTATTATTCATTGATTTTCGGTTTTTGGGGTCGATTTTCAATTTTTCAATTGGGTTAGTTTGAATTTAAACACCCCTACTTGATACACAAGGAAAACTTATATCATCAAGACTACTTTTATATTTTTAAAAGAATAAATATCCATCAAAAGTTTGAGGTATATGATGAAATAGGCTTGTGTGCTGAAATCAAAACCCATCGATCATGACTTCAATTTTATCCGATCACAAGCCAATTTAGTTTCAAGACTAAAATATATTTAGTTGCTTAAATTTAAGATAAATATATTTTTAGTCTTTTAAATTTTAAACTAATCTTTTTTAGACTCTATAAGTTCAAAAAAATCTTATTTTAATTTTTATACTAAAATATTATTAGAAAATGTCAAATATTATCACATAAAATCTATCGATATCCTTATTAATAAAAGCATCACATTTAACTTAAATTAATGTTACATAAATATTTTAATTTGTCATTTTTCAGATATATTATTGATAATCTTAACAAGATTTTTAAAAATTATAAGAATTAAAAATAATTATTTTAAATTTAAAGGGTCAAAAACAAATTAATAAAAACATATTTAAGCTTAATTTTAATAACCCCGGTTGGTTTCTATTCTTCATAACAAAACCATGCACTCTAAAGCACTGGCGCAGTATGTTTCCAATATCATTTACAACTTTGGTTGTTGGAGTAAACTCCATTTTAGTCCCAACGATTCTAAATATTACTTGTAATAGCCAAACTCTACTAGCTCGATCCCCCAAGGAAAGAAAGAATCACATATCCATGATTCATGAATAATCCAAGACGTGGATAAGGAGGATGTTTGGCCATAACATAGTGGAGACAATGAACAAACAAGAAATAAAGGATGAGTTATTATAACTTGTTAATAAACATATCAACTTGTCAAATATACTCTTATAAAAGGAGGTGAGACAAGTATTGAGATAAGCTATATGACCCTAAAACTCTACATAATCACTTAAGACTAATTTGATGAATTGCAAGTGCAAGCTTGGAAGATTCAAGGAAGCAAGATAGGAGCAAAAGCATCATTGACCCGAGAAGAATTTTAATTTTTCAATTCCGTAAATTACCACAGTGCTGGAAATTAATTAATTACAAATGGAAGTGTATATAGGAGAGCAAATTAATTGACAATCGCACACTAAATAAAATGACATCATATTTTTTTCTTATCAATAAATTCTTTTTGACCGTTTTACATTTATAGCCGCTGCATTATGGTAAGAAAATAAACAATAAACTTAAAATTAACTTGAATAATAAAGTATAAAAATTTAGACATAGCTCACTATTAATTTTCATAAATATATCCGTCATATTGAGTTACTTTTATCAGATGCATTACAGCTCCAAAATAACTTATCTTCTAAATTATAATTACATAAACAAAGCACCTCTGTACCATGACAAAAAATTATCCCTAGTTTGATTCTTCATCAGACACAATCATGCAAAAATTATCCTACAAAGAATGGTAGAAATGAACCTTATACTGACAAGAATTTACAAGAGACTGCTTTGCTTGATCATTGATATTAGCAACAAAATTCAATAGCGGTAGACACACATTCTTGTGCCACCTTCACATGAACTCACCTCAAACACAAAATATGTCAACAAAAATGATCCATGGACACCAAACCAATCTACACCCAGAGAGAAAAAGAGATAAGAGAGAGAGAAGGGTAAATGTGATTAGTGATGTGATGGGAAGGGTGTTAATTGGGTGTATGCACTATGTGGTTGTCCATATATCATTACTCAAATGTTAAAATCTGATCAACCTATATCCCCTTTTTACACCCACCTATTCCATTTACTTACTCTAACCACTTCTTGGAAGTGAATCTTGATGAGTCAATTCATAGTTTCCACTTGTCGGAAGTTGATTCTCACTATCCTCAATATTTGCTTTTGAACAAAGGAAGAAGAAGGAAGAAGTGTATATTGTAATATGCCAAATGCTGTAAACATTTCAAAAGAAAGTAACATGAGGAAAGGAAGAAAAAGAGAAAGAGATAAGGTACTATAGGTACTGTTAATGTCGTTCTCCAATCAGATTTTGAGTTTTACCTCAATAATATACATAACTGCATATTTGTAAGGTTTGCATTAAATGTAAATGCATATTCCTTAGGTGAAATTTCAATTCTAATTGAAGAACAACATCAACAATACTAAGTTTTGTCTTTAGTGATACCTATGCCAAAACCAGTAGGTTTCACTGGTTTCAAGTGTCCAGCTTATTGCTGCCATGGCCAATGCAGTAAAACCAGCTAAGGCAAAAGCCCAATGGTAACGTCTCAAAAGTGTCACAACAAGATTATAGAGCCATCGCTTTATAGTTTGGAAACTGCAGTGAAAATTCATTACTATCACTTATTTAGTTATATTAAGGCTCAACTTCATTAATGTTTTCATCTTCAAGCACATGCAAGTTTAACAATAAGGCATACAGGTACAACTGTGATCGGGCCATGAATACAGCATATCAAAATTACAACCTTGTAGATACCTAATACGATTAACCCTAATGAGATTTATGTTATGATTAGATAGACTTCTTCACAAGTGCTTATAAGAGAAAAATATAAAAGATGGAATGAATTAAGTTTCTCCCATAAGTTAAAATCAACTTACAAACCTTAGCTTTTGAAAAAGAAAAATTAGATAAGATAGTTTCTATACAAGTTAAGATTGTAAGTTGATTTTAACTCACAAAAGAAACTCAATTTATTTTATCTTCTTATTTTCTTTTTCAATAAGTACTTATGGAAAAATTTAACTGAACAAGGCATTAAGGTAGCCATGGAGGAATCTGTTAAAGTAGGTCCAACTCCCACGATCACCTTCGATGTTCTATCAAGAGAAAAGAAAAAGAAAGCTACTCCTAGGAATCATTACCTACTTTTTAGCTCTTTAAACACCAATCTCCAAAATATCTAGTAGCCTACACGATGGGACTATGGTATAGAAATAAAAATAGGATAAGGATTAGAATTTATGGGATATGTTTGTATTAGTTGGAATTTTTTTATTATTGGGTATGGTCAAGGACCTCCTCTAGCAAAAGTTTAACTCATGAATAGCTTTACTACAGCAAGGATCACAATAATGGCTAACCTTTTTTTTTTTTTTTTTTTGAAGATAACAATGGGCTAACCATGAATAGGCAGTGAATGCATGAAAAATTAAAAAAAATAAAAATAAAAACAAAAAACAAAAAGCATTGTGCCATTATATTTATAAATCAATATAACATTGTATATCTTATCCAAACAAACTTATATCTAAGTACAGAGAACATACCAGTGAGAGAAATTAAGTGAGACTCCAATTGGAAAGGAAAGGGACCTACACTTTGTTAAGATCTCTATCAACCATCCAATAAGGAGACCAAGACCACCAATCACAATCACAAGAACAACATTGGAAGCCCTACATAATTCGGCATAGATAAATATGAAAAAGACTTTAAACAACTTTATTGGTAGGTAAGTGTGTCTCAATAGTCAGTCTACTAGTTCATGTACCTGGTTGCTTTAGTTGCAGCCATTAGGGCAGTAAGGATAGCAACTGCTGTGTGAATTGCCCTCTTAAATACTTCATCAATTGTAGCTAGATAAAGAAAAGTGCTAATCACAGCCATGAAAGAGAGCCAGAAATCCATGAACTGAAACATTGATAAGTAAAGCCATGGTAAATTCTCAGAAACATAAATATAGCCATTTTTTATTACGTTAAGCACGTATACATGTTAAATATGACTGATTCCTGTTGTATATATCATAGATATTTACAAGATCTAGAATATTTCTAAATATCTTTAGATATTGGTTTCCCTATTTCCTTATTATTTTGTTTTCCTATTTCATTATTATTGTTACTTTCTTATTTAAGCATAGTCATTTACTCTATAAATAGGGATATTAGAGAATGTGCAAAAAACACAATTGATATACAATTTATTTTTTTCAACTTGGTACCAGAGCTTTCGATCTTGGGAATTCTATTTTCGCTACTCAATACCGGCGTACTTTTCACCGCTCAATATCGACATATTGTCCATCACTAGAATTGCCTACAACACCGCCAGTTGTTAAACCTGGAGGTGCAACTTTCCTTTTCCCACTAGACATATAAAATAAAATAAAGAAAAACTGTCTGTGTGTTACTGTTCAGCACATACTTTTCACACATACTGTTCATCATGCACTATTCAACGGTATTGTTCAACATGCATTGTTATTGTGATACTGTTCACTAGGATATTTTAACCTTCACCAAGGAGGAAGTAAATCGTTTAAAAAGCCTCATCAATTCCATGAGTAAGTCATCCGGTACCGGTATCTTAACCATGAAGGGTGAGAGTTCCTTTAATATTTTCGATTCTAATTCCCAAAACATATGGGTTTTTGATTTTGGAGCAACAGACCACATGACCCTATTCCCTACA